CCCTTACCCATCATCTTTCTACCCTTCGCCGGCTCTCAAGCCCTAGTTAGGCAGCCCCGCATGCTTCATCTAGGTGCGCCCAGTATACCAGGCTCCTTTGTTCCCGTGCATGGTCGACCCTCCATAGCGGTCACCCCTTAGTCGAGCATTACCCGCCCTGATGGTCTATCTGTTAGGGTCATTGGTTCTATTCGCTCCCACTTCCCTACCCTCATTGAGCCTGATGACATGTGTTTTCCCCTGTCACTATGTGTGGATGCCCTTCGGAGTTTTCGACCCCTAGGCTGCATTCGCCACCCTCAGAGACCATCCCACCCTTTGGTGTGCAACACACTTCTCATGTGACATATGGTTGTCTTGTTGATTGCTTTGTTGCTCTCAGACTGAGGCTACTGCCTCCGACATTTCTAGGATTTAGTTGTTCTGCTTTTGCTGTTCCTAGGACTTGTACACTAGTCAGTTGTTACCAGACTGAGGCTAGTGCCTCCAACATTCTAGGATCTAGTTGTCACTACTTTTTGCTTTCCTAGGACATGTATGTTAGTTAGTTGCTCCTACTTCTCTTAGGCTGTTAGCTGTGACATTGCTGTTTTGTGACATTTTATATCCTAGGTTGCATCGCATGGACTCAGCATGGAGCTTGCTCCGCATCCTAGACTACTCAGGTTTTCTTGGTAGAGTTCCGCTTCTTGGCGGAAGCATGTTTGTATCTAGGCGATCCATCACAGGCCGAGGATCGTGTAGCGGACCTCTGGGTGGCCTGTGAGACCAGCCCCTTGGCCTGTTCTCACAGGCCTGTGTTATATTCGGGGTAGGCCAGTCCAGGCCGGTACCTCTGTCGGTACCAGCCAGTCCAGTCCAGTCCCGTCAGTCCGCTGGGGTATACCCCAGCCATTGTCTGTTTTCAGTCTCATTCCTCACTTGCACACTTTGGAGTACGTGCGTTGGAGTCTTGCGTGGGGAGCTGCGTTGTGCCATCTTGCTCCCCCTTCTTCCTCCATCTCCATCTCTGTCACTAGCGGAGCACCACACCTGGTGGGTCCGCTACACCAAGCCAATAACCGCGTCGAAGGGGCATTTATAAAGGACATAGAAATTCAACTCATGCGCGATTGTGTGGTCTTCGTCATAGTTAGTGCGCACACCTTTGACTGCATGCGTAGATGTGCCCACTTGGGTCCGACAAGGATTTTGCAAAGTCACTTGCTTCATTCCCAAGCGTGCCTTACAAATATCGTGCGGTGAGAAGTAGTTGGTGGTTGTGCCACAATCAACCAACGCACGGATGTAACGACCGTTAATGCGGAGTTTGAGCCCAGTGCGTCAAGAGAGCATGAAAGTCGATTTCTTCCGACTCCACCCAAGGCTCCTTGTATAGGATCTGCACTTTCTCAACCTTGGAATCAGCATCAGATGGAGTCTCAGGAGAGGTTTGCTGAGTGGGATCAGAATCCAGTGCAGGATCTGCACTTACATGTTCAGCATCTCCGCCTGTAGAGTGCGCTGATGATGTCCTTGCCCCTGTTGCTGGTTTCCCTGCTGCAATCTGAAACAATGTTGGACGGAGTGTCCCGGTTTGGTACGGTGCGGGCAACCCCCTTTCTTCACCCTGTGTTTCCACTCACTTTCACTGATTCGGAGATCTACCCATGGTTTTGTGGCAGGATCTTTCGGTTTGGGTGGAATCTTCGCTCTCTTGGGAAGGAGAATGGTGCTAGTATTGTTCTTCACTATCGTCCTCGGTCCCTAACTTTTGAAGGCAGTCTTCTTGAAGGCATCATAGATTCATCGTCATTTACATACTCAGACTCATGGGCTGACGATGAGCAAGATGCCTCACAATCTTGCTCTTGATCGTCATAAGGAGAAGGGTCCTCTACGAAGGTCTCCTCGTCAACCTCAAGTAAATTGTTCACTGCAAAATGGTTGCTGCCTGGAAACCGTTTGCGGCCGGTGGTCTTTTTGCCACCCGATCCACTTGGGAGGTCTTGTACCTCCAGCTCGACTAAATCCCGCATGAGGGTAAGCCAATTTGTAAACGTTATGAGTCTGAGTCCCAGGCGATGTGTCTTCGTAGAAGGGACCGTACCTTTTATCACATCCAAGCAAGACTGCGCAGTCATCTCCAGATTTGGAGTAGCAAAGAGTTTGCTAACATACTGCTGCAGATTATGTCGGCCCACTTGCTGTGCTTGAGCTTATCAAGCTCAAGTCTAGCTTTGGCAGCAGCATGTGGATCAGCATATTGTTTGATCAAGAGTTACTCAAATGCGCCTATAGGCGTAGCCATCAGCCATTTCTTCATACTTAGATTGAGTAACCGGGGGTGTCCCCAGCACATCAAAGTCCCTTGCGGTCCCTTACGGCGGGTTCCGCATTGGGTTCCGCATTGGTCCCTAGGACTGACGACTGAGTAACCAGGGGTGTCCCCAGCACATCAAAGTCGAATCGCATAGAGTTGATCCAAGATTCAATGTCGTCCTTTCCGTCATACTTACACGGAATCTGTGCCGATTTCCTGTCCACATAGGGAAAGCTGCAGCTGGGCCCGCGATTGCTGGGTCCGAATTCGGAGTTGAACAGTTCCAGAATGCCCTGCCCTGCCACTTGCTGCAGCAGCAGCAGCAGCACCAGCAAAAGCGGGGTCTGGACCTGCTGCAGATCCGGTGAGGTTGTTCGCCACACTCAAAGAAGAAGAAGAAGAAGAAGAAGATATGGTTGGAGGATCAAGAACGAACTTACATGCAGCACTATCCAGGGTAAGCAAGCGGAAGAACACTTTGGGCCGGCTGCAAGCTAGCAAACTGATGCAGCTGGTCACGGTGCTGCTGCGCCATCAGGGTATTATCGTCGCACAACTTCTTGGCGATTTGGCCTGTATGGTCTTCAACAACCCCGACCTCTACAAAAGCCCTGAGGAGTGGGACAGTCTTCTCTTCCACCTCATCATCAATTAAGGCGGGCAAGGTACTAAAGACGGCTTCATGAGCCTTTACTTTATCACCCCTCTCTTCTCCTTCTCTTCCTCTTCCCTCTTCAATGCTTTTTCATAAAAGAACTGGTATTGCGCTATTTCTGCCTCAGGGCCAGCGTCCATTTGCAGCTTTCATTCTGCTGCAGATACCATGATGGAGGACGAGGGTGTCAATAAGTCTCCCAAGAGAGTTCCGTACTTCCTCAGCACTTCAAGGACGAACACTCCCCTTTCAACTCCTCACTCCCTCAAGAGCAACACTCAGAAGTTTTTCTCTCTTCTCTATCTCTCTCGTTTGCGATGGTGTAGACGCAGGCATTTAACGAACCCAATGAATGAAACAGTCTTGAAACCAACTAGAAGAGAAGGTAGAACTCTTAGCCGGAGAGGCAATTCATTTGGACTAGAGAGCAGTCAAAACAACAAAAGAATAAAAGAT